ATCAAGGAAAACCCCAAGGCTTTTTACACGCACGCGAGAAATAAGAGAATGACTAGAGAAAGGGTAGGGCCGATCAAGGATTGTAAAGGGAATTTGTGTACGGAGCCTAAAGAGATAGGAGAGGTTCTTAATGAATACTTTTCTTCGGTATTCACAACTGAAAGGAACCTAGTTGTAGTGGAGGACAGTGTGAAACAGGCTGGTAGGCTAGAGGAGGTGGATGTAGTAAGGAAGATGTACTAGGAATTTTGAGGAACTTGAAGATAGATTAGACCCCTGGGCCTGATGAGATTTATCTAAGGATTCTATGGGAAGCCAGGGAAGAGATCGCAGGGCCTTTGGTGATGATCTTTTTGTCCTCACTGTCCACGGGTATAGTGCCAGAAGATTGGAGAGTAGCAAATGTCATTCCCTTGTTCAAAAAAGGGAATAGGGACAACTCTGGAAATTACAGGCCAGTTAGTCAGTGGTGGGCAAATTATTGGAAAGGGCTCTGAAACGTAGGATTTATGATCATTTGGAAAGGAACAGCTTGATTCGTGATAGTCAGCATGGATTTGTGAGGAGTAGATCATGCCTCACAAACCTTATTGAATTCTTTGAAGAGATGACCAAACATGTGGATGAAGGTGGAGCAGTGGATGTGGTATACATGGATTTAAGTAAGATTTTTGATAAGGTTCCCCATGGTAGGCTCATGCAGAAGGTAAGGAGGCATGGGATAGGGGGAAATGTGGCAGATTGGATTCAGAATTGGCTGACCCTTAGAAGACAAAAGGTGGTAGTGGACGGAAAATATTCAACATGGTGCTCAGTTACGAGTGGTCTACCACAAGGATGTGTTCTGGGTCCTCTTCTATTTGTGATTTTTGTAAATAATTTGTATGAAGGAGTGGAAGGGTGGATTAGTAAGTTCGCAGACCATATGAAGGTGGGTCGAGTTGTGGATAGTGTGGAGGGCTGTTCTAGGTTACAAAGGGACATTGATAGGATGCAGAGCTGGGCTGAGAAGTGGCAGATGGAGTTTAACCCTGAAAAGTGTGAGGTGATTCATTTTGGAAGGACAAACTTGAAAGCAGAACACAGGATTAACGGAAAGATTCTTGGCAGTGTGGAGGAGCAGAGGGATCTTGGGGTTCATATCCACATTTCCCTGAAAGCTGCCACCCAGGTGGATAGAGTTGTTAAGAAGGTGTATGGTGTGTTAGCTTTCATTAATAGAGGGATTGAGTTCAATAGCCGTGAAGTTGTGCTCCAGCTATACAAAAGCCTGGTTCGGCCACATCTGGAGTATTGTGTCCAGTTCTGGTTGCCTCATTACAAGAAAGATGTGGAAGCGTTGGAAAAGGTGCAGAGGAGATTTACCAGGATGTTGCCTGGAATGGAGGGAAGGTCTTACGAGGAAAGGTTGAGAGAGCTAGGGCTTTTCTCTTTATAACGATGAAGGATGAGAGGTAACTTGATAGAGGTGTACAAAATGATCAGAGGTATCGATAGAGTGGACAGCCAGAGACTTTTTCCTAGCTATTATGAGGGGGCATAGTTTTAAAGTGAGTGCAGGTAGATATAGGGGAGGCGACAGAGGTAGGTTCTTTACTCAGAGAGTGGTAGGGGCATGGAATGCATTGCCTCATTAAGGGCATTTAAGCAGCTATTAGATAAGCATGTGGATGATAGTATAAGGTCGGGGTGGAGGTTAGATAGACCTTAGGTTTAGGGTAAAAGTTTGGCACAACATCGTGGGCTGAAGGGCCTGTACTGTGCTATGTTCTATGTACAAGAATGATGTGAAGCTTGTTGTATGAGGAGCAGTTGAGGACTCTGGGTTGAAACTCAATGGAGTTTAGAAGGATTTTTTTTTCCCCTTCATTTATTCACAGGATGAGGGCTTGCTGGCCAGGCAGCATTTATTGCCCATCCCTAATTGCCTAGAGGGCAGTTAAGAGTCAACCACATTGCTGTGGGTCTGGAGTCACATGTAGGCCAGACCAGGTAAGGATGGCAGTTTCCTTCCCTGAAGGGCATTAGTGAACCAGATGGGGTTTTTTTTAACCTCCAAGCAATGGATTTATGGTCATCATGAGACTCTTAATTCTAGATATTTATCGAATTCAAATTCCACCATCTGCCATGACAGGTTTCGAACCCATAGCTCCAGAAGGATATCCCAGTCTTTGGATCAACAGCCCAGTGATAATACCACTAGGCCATCACTTCCCCTGATGGGGCAGATCTGATTTAAACTTACAGAATACTGACAGGTCTGGATAGACTGAATGTGGAGAAGGTATTTCTATTGGCAGGGGTGACTAGGACCTGGGGAGAAGACTTAGAGTGAAGGGACAGCCCTTTAGAACTAAGGTGAGGAGGAATTTCCTCAGCCAGATGAAATGGAACTCTTTGGATCTCATTGCCACAGAAGGTTGTGTCGGCCAAGTCATTGCGTGTTTTTAAGACTGAGGTGATGGGTTGTTAAACAAAAATAGAAATTGCTGGAAAAGCTTAGCAGGTCTGGTAGCATCTGTGGAGAGAAATCAGAGTTAAAGTTTCAGGTTGAGTGACCTTTCCTCACAACTGATGGTAGCTAGGAAAATGTCAGTTTATATGCAGAAGATAGGGAGGGGGGAGTGGGTGAAGAGTAAACGATAGGTGGGGATAGAGCCCAAAGAGACAGAAGTACAGTTGGACAGACAAAGGAATGGTAACGATCTGGCTACAAGGATGAATAGTTATTAATGGGGACTGTTAGTGGGTAACAGTGGGTTGTGTGTAATAGCAGACTTTGTGATAACAAGGTCTGGTGTGTGGTGGTTGGGGTAAGGACATAGGAGAGCTCAAATGCTAAAGTTGTTGAACTCAATATTGAGGCTAGAAGGCTGCAATGTTCTCCCAGCATGCGCTGAGCTTCACTGGAACACTGCAGCAAACCTGAGACAGAAATGTTGGCCAGGGAACAGCATGATGTGTTGAAGTGGTACGTAGCTGGAAGCTCACGTTCTTCTTTTTTTGCAGACAGATTGTAGGTGTTCTGCGAAGTGGAGAAACATCCACAAATAGCAGAGGTCCCAGTATGGATCCCTGTGAAACACCAATAGTTATGGACCTCCAGCCTGAGAAACACCCTTTCACCATTACCCTCTGTCTTCTGTAGACATGAAAAATTCAATCAAGTTAGTAAGACATGACTTTCCCTGCACAGAGCCATGCTGACTATCCCTAATTAGGCCATGTTTCTCCAAATATGCATGAATCCTATTCCTAAAATGCTTTCCAATAGCTTCCCAACTACGGATGTGAGACTCACCAATCTATAGTTTGCTTGGTTTTCCCTTTTTCGCTTCTTGAACAGAGGAACAACACTAGCTACTTGCCAGTCCTCCGGGACATCTCCGGTGGCTAGGGAGGAAACACAGATCTTGGTCAAGGTCCCAGCAATCTCCCTTCTTGCCTCTCTCAATAACCTGGGGTAGATACCATCAGGATCTGGGGACTTAGCCACCTTAATGCTCTTCAAGAGATCCAACACCACCTCCTTCTTGATCTCAAAAGTCCTAGCATATTAGTATACTCCACACAAATCTCAATGTTCTCTATATCCTCCTCCTGGGTGAATACTGGTGCAAAGTACTCATTTAGGATCTCACCCACATCCTCTGCCTCCAAGCACAAGTTCCCTCCTACCTTCTCCCTAGTTATCCTCTTGTTTTAATGTATCTATAGAATGCCTGGGGATTCTCTTTAGCCTTACTTTCCAAGGTCATTTCATGGTCCTTTCTTGTTCTTCTATTTTCCTGCTTGAGTACTTTCCTGCTTTCCCCATATTCCTCACAGGCCCTGTCCAATTTTGGCTCCCTAAACCTTAAATATGCTTTTTTACCTTTTGACTAAATTTACAACCACCCTCGTTATCCAAGGATCCCTTGCCTTGCCATCCTTCACCTTTCTTCTTACTGGAATGCAACAGTCTTGAACTTCCATCAGCAGGTCTTTAAACAGTTCCCACATGTCAAATGTAGACTTGCCTGATAACAGCTCCAACCAAGTAACATTCACTCGTTCCTGCCTAATATTGACATAATTTGCCTTCCCCCAATTTTGTACCCCTCTGTGAGGTCCTGACTTATCCTTGTTCATAGCTATCTTAAAACTTAAGGAGATGTGATCGCTGTTTCCAAAATGCTCTATAACAGGAAGGTTAGTCACCTGGCCATGCTCATTAGCCAATACAAGGTCAAGTATGGTCCCTCTAGTTGGACTATCCACATACTGTTTCAAGAAATGCTCTTGGATGCTCTTAACAAAATTTTCCCCTGTCCAAGCCTCTTGCTCTAAGGGAGTCTCAGTTAATAGTCAAAAGTCAACCATTATGACAACTCTGTTTTTATTGCATCTTTCCATAATCTGCCTATATATTTGTTCCTCAATCTTTTGATGGCTGTTGGGGGACATTTGATGGGTATAGTCTTATCAGAGTGATTGCCCCCATCTTATCTTTGAGGTCTACCCATATTACCTCAGTGGGTGAGCCCTCCAGTATGTCCTCTGAGTGCAACTTGTCCACCTCTTTTACCTTCCCCTCTATCTTGTCTAAAACAATGAAACCCTGGAATGCTGAGCAACCAGTCTTGCCCCTCTCTCATCCAAGGCTCTGCGCAACATCATAGTCCCATATTCTGGTCCCGGCTCCAAGCTCATCTGCCTACCTATAATACTTTTTGTATTGAAATAAACACACTTCAGCTCAACAGTACCATTGTACAGATATGTGGATCAGAGAATTCAGCAAGGAAGTGTGGAGGGAAGCCTGTCATTGCTTTTTTGACCCTGGGACTTTGCAGAAGTATCTGGTTTTCTCACTGAAAACTGATGGCTTTGGACATTTTTTTTAAAAATATCTGATTCCACATTCAGTTATGCTTGCTCCTGTTGTTCAACTTTCTACTAACAGTTGTTCATTGGTAGCACTGCTTTACTTTATCCTCCTGTCTTTTTCTCCTCAGATTCACTCCTCACCCAAATGAAAAGGAATGTTGTCATGTCACTAGTCCTCCTTTCCTTTGGTTCAATGCCTCAACTGGAACACCTCATACCATTAATAAGCTGCATCTAATGTTGCATCTCAGTCATTTGCATTTACCAGTCAACTGAATAATGTTTATAACTCAATATTTCGCAGCATACGTTGTCTGGTGTCTGAATTATTTTCTGTGTCACCATATAAATAAATAAATTTGTGTGGCAACTTAAGTCCCACAGTATTTATGTGATTTGTTCAAAGAAATCAAAAGCATAGTCATCCAAGTGATAACAGGCATCAAAGAAACATAAAATATACAGCAACCAGAGAAGTATGAAGCCTGATAAGGCAAACAGTGAAATTACAGAATTCTTTCTGCTCTCTATCTCTGGATCATTCTCTATCTTCCTCTGACCCTTCAGTCCCTTATGCACCTTAATCGCCTCGAAGATGTGTCTCACTGTCAGAACATTGAGCAAGAGAATAAAAGCGAATGGGAAAATTGTTTGTATTTTTTTTCAAAATATCTTAAACTAATCCATTGAAGTTCTTCATGAGTAACTTCACTTGGTAGAACAGTAACATTGTTGATGAACTTTCTAGGCTTAAATCGAATGCAAATAGGAATTTTTTTTTTAAGTGCATATTGTTGCTAAAACTCTCCTTGCAATTTTCCCTGTGCAGAAATTAGTTTTCATTTGATGAAAACAAATGCAACAAAATGATTTAAAAAAAGCAACAGTGCACCAAACAGAGCAATCAATGGATAGGTAATTCAGGGCACAGATAGTAGTACAACAGGAGTGATGTCCAGGAAACATTGTGAACAATAACTATAAATAAACAAATCGAGTAAGACAGCAAAGATAATGAACAGGAGATCAGATACTTCCATGGCCATCAGATAGGGAGTGATGCATGTAGAAAGCCTACACTCTTCCCCGGTCAAGAATACAATCGCCACTAGATTGACTGTAAGAGAGAGAAAAGGAAAAGAGACTGATAAAACATTGTTTGTGCCTGACCCAGACTGTAAGTGATGCATTTTAGCATAAACATTTATTGTTGTTCTGTGTCATATCAAGATTCAAGAATCTGCACCAGAACAGCAAACCTGCACTGAATGAATCATTTGCACTCTTAACATGAGCAGTGGGTTACTTTCAGAAAAATGGTCAATGCTCAATATTTTACTGGGGTAGTCAGCAGCTGATTTCATCTGCTGTATAGGTTGCCCTAACTGGCTGGAATTGCCCTTCACCCCACAGCATCCACACAAAGACACATGGAATTGGTAAAGCAGACAAAGGGAAGCACCTAACACAGATATTGATTGCAAAATTCCCATTTTCGGTTTTGCTCCACAGCTGAGGTTTGCCTCAATAATTGCAGACACAAATACGAGATTCCTAAAGTGGACCCACTTTCAAAGCTACAAGGTCATCCACTCGATTCAGCGTAGTGTCTTGGAGTATGGAACACCAAACACGTGGACTTACACTGAAGACATCTTACCTAGAAAAGAGAATCAGGCTCTGGGTTTTGAGACCAGCGCAAGTTGGGAAATTCATTACACTAGGCAAAATAGCCCATGAAATGGACTATCCCCTGGGATATCCATCGCCATGAATTGGGCAAGACCTCAGCACCCTTTCACCTTGGACACTCGTCCTGTTCTCTCACACACACAGGAATCTCCCTTGGACGTTAAGCAACCCTTGGATTCAAAGACTTTTGGGAAAAATGATTATTTTTAAATACGCTCCTGGAATGTAAGCTTTGATGACTAGGCAGTATTCATTGTCCCGTTCTAATCATATGTGATGGTGATGGGCATCTGCCTTACCTGGGGCGCAGGAAAACCCATGTTATTTTTGGAAGAAAGTTCCAGAATATCTGCCCAGCAGCTGTGATGGATCAACGATATATTTCCAAGTCAGAATGAAATCTGGTTTGAAAGACAGTTTGCATGTGATGATGTTTCTATGCATCTGCAGAACTTGTTCTTTTGCATGGTGGAGGTCATGGGTTTGCTAGGTGCTTTCCTGTGGGCACAGCACTTGTACGGATGAATCAATTCATTTTTCTCTCAATGGTTGGCTCAGGTAGTTGATAGTCAGGCATACAGTGATGGCAATGTCATAGCAAGACAATGGGAAACTGGTAGATTTTCACATTTTGGAGATGGTCATTGTCTGATTGTCTGCTGTGAATGCGATGGTCAGCCCAAGCTAGATGTTATCTTACTGCACATGGAGACACATCCCTTTATTATCTAAGGAGTCGTAAATGGTGCTGAACATTTGCAGTCACTAGCAAACTTTGGAAATGATGCTAGAAGAAAGGGCATTGATGAGATTGCTGCAGATTTTGTGGCCTAGGGGACAACCCAGAAGAGCTCCTGCAAAACAACAACAATGAGAAGATTCACCTATAACAGCTAGAACCGTCTTCAGTATGAAATCAAAGAGTGTTTCAATCTGACTGACTCCAAATTTACAAGGACTCCTTATTGTGAAATAACAAGGTGTAGAGCTGGATGAACACAGCAGGCCAAGCAGCATCAGAGGAGCAGGAAAGCTGACTTTTCGGGTCTGGACCCTTCTTCAGAAAATTGTGAATATGTGTTCATAATTTATATGTGTAAGAGCTAAACATTTATTTCCAGTAAGTAAAAAAAAAAAAATAAAGAGGCACATCTGATTGATGTAAGGATAATCAAGGCTTACGTAAATGCAAGTAAATCAATCCTGAGTGTGTCACAGTTTAGAGTTAACTTGCGGTGGTGTTGGTAGGTCAGAAGGTGTGGTACAAAAAAAAGTGACAAAGTTTGCAGACCAGACAGAGTCGGGATATTTTCACTATCACATTAACTGGAGTGAAATGCTCCCAATTCTGGAATTTTAACTAGTGAACTGTTCATGACATGAAGACACAGATGGTGGGCGAATCGAATTGTTATGTTGAAGGTAAAATAGCTCATTCACAATGTTCTATATTTAATGTAACACAACTGAAAAAGTTCTCTTGAATTTTGCTGAGAGAAAGCTAAGTACAGCCCTGCAATGCAAAATATGTACATGATATTTTCACAAATGAGAGAGAAAACAACTGAAGTTCTTTGGTCAGGAATACTCATTACAGCTTCGGACACATGGCAATGGCAGAGTCTTATATGATATATTAAAACACTATGTTAATGTTCTGTGTTTTGCACTGCTGTTTCTATGTAATGCTCTCCAATTCAATTATTAATTATAGTGATAATAGCGCAGGCACTAAAGCTGGATATTTGTCAAAACATTTTTATCCCTAATACTGGTTGTATTTTTATTTTTTATATATTGCCTTAAAACTGACTGATGCATGTATCTCATCAAAATATCTTCCTCAAAAGGAAGACACATATCACAAAGTGAAATGCAATGATCACTGGCAAGTGAACTGTGGAGACTGATTCAAAAATGGTTGCTCAAAATCTAATCTGACACAGACATCAAATATTGTCAATATTTCCAGTTCTATATCAATCTTTATTAACATCTAAATAATAGAATGGAGTTGCTATGTCTCACAGCTTGTCCCAACCTTGCTGCAAAATTAATCAGTACCAAATATATTATCTGAGCAAATTGCGCAGCAGTCCTCCCAAACCAACTTACCTTCTGATCAGTCAAAAGTTCTATTCTACCTCCAAATTTCTGACTTTCTGAGCTCTTTGGACCAGATATTATAACGGAGATACGACAGCGTCGACGGGGAACTGCAATCCGTGGTTTTAACACTGTGGGTCTCACAGTAAATCGGTCTGAAAATATAGAATAACAGAATCCCTACTGGGCAGATAGAGGCCAATTGGCGCATCGAGACTACACCGACCGTCTGAAGAGCAACCCACCCAGACCCACTCCCCCACCCTATTCCATTAACCCCGCATTTCCCATGGCCAATCCAATTAACCTGCATATCTTTGGACTGTTGAGGGGTGGGGGGTGGAACCAGAGCACCCAGTGGCAGCCCACGCAGACACAGGGAAGAATGGGCAAACTCCACACAGTCACCCACGGCTGGAATTGAACCCAGGACTGTGAGGCACCGGTGCGAACCAAAGGCAGAGTGATAGCCAAAGACAAAATGATAATCCCAACCGTACGGATATGAGAGGAACTTCACATAAACTGTTAGCATTCAGGGGACATCAAAGGATGAAAGCATTAGAGGGCAAAGTGAGAAACATCCTGTTCATCAAAGTTGTTCATCAAAATATGGGAGAGCTGCTGCCACAACACTCTCCGCACTTGTCCTATTAAACTCCACACCAGAGAAGTGTGCATCTTTTTCCTAATGTCACAACTCACATATTTGTTGAGATCCAAATGTTCACGAATACACATTTTGATAGGAATCCTGTGTTCAACACCACCCAGCTATCTGTCCTCATAAATACAATGCCCCCTCACATCCACTGACTAACGCACAAGGTATTCAAAGCATTCCATGTTGACCTTCACTTATCTCTCCCACAATGACCTGTTCAACCCAGTCATTGCTCACTTATATCTGGTCTCCCAAATACAGCAACTGCCTGAGCATGATCCGCCAGCAGTGTTCCTTTCGAACAAGAAATCAGAAATACTAGGTGTCTGTCACAAAAAATGGTTATAAAACACACCCTAAAAAGACAGATCTCACTCTAAATAAACCCTAAAACACCCAGCTCACTGTATATAAACTCTAAAACACAGAGCTCACTGTAAATAGACCCTAAAACACTGAGCTCACTGTAAATAAACCAGAAAACAAAGAGCCCCCCTGTAAATAAATCCTAAAACACAGAGAATCCTGAAAAAAAACCTAAAACACGGAGCCCCTTGCTAACAAACCCTTAAAGAGAGGCCCCTGTAAATAAACCCAAAAATACAGATGGCCCTGTAAATAAACCCTAAAACACTGAGCTCAATGTAAATAAACCTTAAACACAGATGGCCCTGTAAAAAACCCTAAAACACAAACTCCCCTGTAAACAAACCCAAAAATACAGAGCCTCCAGTAAATAAACTCTAAAACCAGAGCCTCCTGTAAATAAATCGTAGAATGCAGATCCTCTGTAACTAAACCTCAAACAACTGAGCTCAATGTAAATAAACCCTTAAACACAGATGGCCCTGTAAAAAATCCTAAAACACAGAGCCCCCTGTAAACAAACCCTAAAACATACAGCCCACTGTAA